TATCAGAGCATGTCCTACAACGACGCCACAATCCAAGCTAGCTATACACCTGCATTGTTTGTACTTCCGAAGAAGCACAGACCACAACAACAACAAAGGGGTGAGATTCACGATCAAATATTAATGGTATAAACATACATGAAATAAAAGGCAGAAAACAATAAATCATTTATTTCATATACCACATATCCGGACCTACTGTCCCATCATCAACAATCACAACACATACACAACTCACTATGCAACACATGCACTGGACTCCACAGAATGCGGTACCGACTCAGCTCAGGATAGATCTCATACACTCCCTCTGAGCAACGATCTATCCCTACCACGCTCCTCATGAGCTCATATAATCACATATCAACGTCCCCCACTTGGGACACGGGTGATCGTATACACTCCATCCGAGCAACGATCCAAATTCCCGTCCACGCTCCCCACTGGAGCACGTGAGCCACACAAGCCTCACGTCCACACGCTCCCCATTTGGAGCACGCGAGTGAATCGCGTAAGCTCCACCGAGCAACGATTCACCACGTCCACATACCAAGCAAGACGCTATGCATAACCACACGGCACACACGGTGCACACGATCCTACAGATCCATTCATCATAATATGCATACATACACAAGCACACAAAGTGCATCGATCCTACTGATCCGATCACCACACAACAACACGTCAATACAATGCTCACAAGGCATATTCGATCCTACCGATCACAACTACCATACAACATATCACACACTATGCACATAAGGCATACCGATCTTACCAATCCAATCGTCACACAACAGCACATAATCACAACGCATATAAAGCGTATCGGTCCTACGGACCCACTTACCACAACACATCACTATAACATACTCAATGCGTAACGATCCTACTGATCCGCACATTCCGCACACTGTGCATACATCTCACGTACGCATCCACACATATTCATTCCTAGTCGAAGGATACATAGCCACATTAGGCATCACAACGTACTTCAGTTTAATCGTTCGTATCAACGAGTATTCAAGCACACGCCCTCTACATCACCTTCATGCTCTCAACCGATCCACAATACCACGTACTCTCTCACGACCAACAAGGGTCCAACCACGTGAGAACGGAACAGCACAGCAGAAAAATCACAAAATGCTGTCATATTCGCTGCCATTCTCCTGGCGAAGCCCCGCAGCGAACACTAGCTGGGACTCGCCCGGCGAAACCCCTAGCGAAGCCAAACAGAAGCAAAAGGCAGCATTCGCTGCCCAGTTCGCCTGGCGAAGCAGGGCGAAGGCTCGCCCCCATTCGCCCAGCGAATGCACGCGAAAACTGCAGAAAAACTGCTGTTCAGAAACAGCCTCACACCCCGATTTCGCCTGATTAAATTCCACGAAATCCCACACTATACCAGTACAGTACTATCCCACAAGACTACACCGATTATCCTAGTTCATACTCGATAAATCCTCAGTTCTACTGAATTAACCAACTTCCGACTTAACTCCGAATTTACTCGGAAGCCCCCAAATCACCAAACAACCATCCTATTCCACATGCAGTGACCTCAACATCATAAACACAATAACCACAGAATTACAAACATGCAATCAACATCAAGTTAACATCAATCTATGGGGATTAAGGGTTTTTCCCCTTTTCCTACCAATTTCATGCAATACCAATTCGATCGATTAATCCCCCCCTTACCTCAATAAGCAGTTGATGATGTTTAACTTCAAGAATCCGCACGAATTGATAGTCTTGATGATCTCCTTGCTCAAGCTTGCTCTTGGTTGCTTCCACCTCCTTCACCGTGCTTTCCTTCTTTCCAACCGTGTTCTTGTTCTCTCCCTCTTTCCAAATGCCCAACATGCCCTTCATCCCAAAAATACTCTTTTATTTTCTTTTATTCTCAATAACAATATTACTCATAATTCTTTTATTCCAAAAATCCCAATAATTCACGTTTTTAATTCCAAAATAATATTAACACCTCATAATATTAATATTAATAGTAATGATAATAATAATAATAATAATAATATCAACATTACTATTAATTATTAATTATTATCATTATCAATTATCTAATATTAATACTATGCTCCTATTTCTTCATCAATTTCCACACAAAACACGTTGACGAATAAAATAACTCCGGAAACCAAAAATAATTAAAATGGGCGTTACACTAGGCACTCAAGTGCCTAGCCCGTAGCCTCCTTAGGGTGACACGTGGTGACCCTCAACCTTCCCTGCGTCTCTTCAAATTCCCCTCCTCGTCCACGGGCTTCCCCTACATCATAGGCTCGCCCGACCAGCACAGTTGCGGCCTGCCTGACAAAGCGACATGCTTGACACTTTTTGCACCTTAAGTCATAGCTCGTTTGACCGCGAGCAACGACTTGGGGGGCTACTGTTCTGGACTGGGTCGACACTTGGCCCATAGTCGAGTAGGGCCAAACTCCATCAGGTTGGAAGACCCAATAAGACCTCATCGTCGGGCAGAGACCTGTCGGACAGAACATCTTCTCCCGTCGGGCACGGATCAATGGCAGTCGAGCAGGATCCTCATATATGTCTGACTCGCCCCTCTTCTGCCCCACTGTCGGGTAGAACCCATCCAGCTCGGAAAGCTCCTCTGACCTCCCCCACGTTCTCAACGTGTCCCCTACGCGGAGACACGTCATCAGGTAACTATCGGTGCCCTGATTATTCGGTCCTCCACCTCCCGGATAGCACAGAACAGTTACACTAGGGCGAAGACCACGTGCTGGTCTTCACGATGCTACGTCAGCCCTAGCAGTTACCAGCGTTGGGTCTGGCAGTCCAGCCCGAAGCATAGTAACCGTTGGTTCTGCGCTCGGGGCTCATTATAAATACCTTCTTCCACTAGAGGGTCAGGTAATTTAATTTTTACTCATTTCTCTATGTACTTGTTATCACTCTGCTCGCCCTTTACTTTGGCATCGGAGTGTGTTTCAGGTACACCCCCACCCCCCCTGTCCGTCAAGTCAACAGTCCGACAGCTCAGACTCGTAGCAGGCCATCGACTCTTCTGATCAAGTGCGATCAATATTTATCTCTTATTTTTATAAGTATCAATGATAAATATTTGGGCTTTGTTTTATAATGATCAATTATAAATATAAATCCCTTTTTTTTTTTATAATTATCTATTTGAATAATTATCACATATTTTTTAATATCAATAAATGAAAAATATTTATGTATTTTATTTTAATTAATCGAACACAATCGGATGATATTTGTTTATATAAACTGATGTTTTATAATTTTTATTTTGGCGATGCTAATTTTTTAAAAATTTAACGTTAAATATTTTAGTGTGTGTGTATATATATATATATATATATATATATATATATATATATATATATATATATATATATATATATATATATATATATATATATATATATATATATATATATATATATATATATATATATATATATATATATATATATATATATATATATATATATATATATATATATATATATATATATATATATATATATATATATATATATATATATATATATATATATATATATATATATATATATATATATATATATATATATATATATAATTTTAGTTTAACTAATTAATTAATAACAATTATATATTTATTAACGACTTTTTCAATGACTCATTTTTTAAAAATAATGTAAAATTGATGAAATGACATTCTGAAATAAGATTCAGTTGAAATTTGCCACTTTTTAAATATATACAAATATAAAATATTTTTATAAATGAAAAAAAGTGACAAAATTAAATAATATTGTAAGTAGTCTAAATATTTTTAAAATGTATAACATAGTCAATATTTTAATATATAATTATTTATGTTTTTAAGATAATATAAGTATACCCTTGGAAAAGAAGAGGTGTCATAAAATTGTATGATGTATATAAGGATAGTGTAGTCTTTTTGATAATAGTTTATTATCTAAAGTTTATATAGAGACAAGTAAAAATATAATTCATAAATATATTAGCCATGAAAACATCTGGAATGGATACAATTTTAAATCTGGACTAGGACAATTTTTATGTTTATATTATTGGATACACAGTTCATCTGTTAAGTTGTGATGGGATAATAGTAAAATTTTGCACAAGAAAATGAACCTAAAATTTTCCCCAAAAATGAGTAATTAAGTATTTTTTTAATTTTAATTTTATATTTTAAAATTATTAAGTTTATAATATGTTTTTGGTAACAAGTCTATAGTATTATAAAATACAGAATCATGTGTTAGAATTGTATTAGTAAAAAAAAATGTGTTGAATTGTAATCATAAAGAGCTCTATAAAAACATGTAGCTAAAGTCCTAGGTAAAATACAAGCTCTCTTTTTGAAATGTTAAAACTTTATTAATTTATTATCAGTTAAATTATTAAAATGTCAATTTAGTTACCTACAAAATAATTCAATTAAAAAGTAAAATGTGTTCAAGATTTTTAAAATTAAACAAATCATAAAAAAAAATGTTTAAAATAGTTAAATAGTGTTGAAAGGATTCCTAAAAATAACTCAAATTTTCACAATAGTTTATTTTTTCTTTAGTTCTCTTTTCCCAAGGCTCAAAAGCTAAGAAGTGAAGGGCACCTTTGCACAATAAGAACTTCTGCATTAATCAGCAAAAAACTATAAAGCCCATTATACCAAGTATTACATTGAATCTTGTTTTTCCTACTAAAACCTTTACTATTAGTCTTGTATAGGTCAAAATCTAAAAGAGATGAACTAGAACTATGATACACAAGCAAATGCTATGCAGCCTAGGCTCTGCTAAAATGTAAATAAATACAAGGAGCCTGAAATTTTCATGCACATGACCCCATCATTGAAGCGGCGAAATTATACCGTGATCATCCAATTGCCACCCATGTAACACTGAAATACATAATTCATATATATAGCGGTTAAACTGTTTAACCCGTATAACAGTTAATCCTTCTCAATCGGATCTCTCTAGCTCCCGAAATTTTTTATCCCATTCGTTAGCTTCAAATTCTTGCTCAAGAAAGTCCTTGTCAGTACTATACACAATTTGATCCTGCCCTATCACTGTCTTTTGAGCCATGTCACGTGCATTGAAAATCTGAAAACATAAACCATTGTCTCAGAAAGAATGTCTAGAGTAAAATGCAATCCCAATGAAACTACCTTTTCTCAAACCAGACAAATGAAGAACCAGAAGGAAGTATATAAAAACATAGCTGAATTGTACTGCATAAGGAAGGGATGCATACTCTTATTGGATGTGATCAAGTAACAAGCAATCATCCAAAAATAAATGTACATGAAATAGAATTATTTAATATAGTGAAATGGAAAATCCATTCAGAAAATCATTTCTGAAATTCATTTACACAATCACAGGGTAATTTAAAGGAATACCTGTAAACTATAAACTAAAGTCAAATGTTTTACAAAGTCTTAGAATTCTGGCTGGACCTAACTCAAACCCCACAAAACTGATTAGTAAGATGAGGGATGCTCATCACTTATACGCACTGCTTACGCCATATCTTTACTTGTAAGGGACTAAACCCACTCCCTCACACTATGAAGCACGGACACCCCAAATACGACACCGACACCGACATGGCAACACTGATAATAATTTGAAAATTGAATAAATTAAAGGTAACTACAAGTGCCGGTGTAGGTGTCGGTGTCCGACAGACACAGACATACAATTTTTCAGAGGTGTCGATGCTACATTCACACACAATGAAGTTTCTAGAGGTTGCAATGAAGGCAACCTAAATGCCACAATTAAGGCGGCTAAGGGGGACTGTAATTAAGGTAGAATTTGCAACACACCAACTCACATCCTGGCCACTTGGAATCTAGGCAAGGCCTAATTCAACCCTGCAAAACATACTTTTAAGAGGAGAAATGTCACCACTTATAAGAACTAGTTAGCCAGCCATATCTGATAGAGCAGAGATAATATGCATAAGAAATATTAGATGGAAGACATTTATTGTCTTAATGGAATAGTGAAAACAGAAATACAATCAGAGCAAGTGCTCCTTAGAGAAAAGATTCTCTCACTGCCTAACTGTAAAAGTGATCACAACTGATTTGCAGCACAACTAATTCCCCTTTCTGCCCTATTATTTGGGAATATCCCAACTGACTGCCAGCATGGCAGTCACCTTTCCTTCATGCTCTCTTTCTTTTTCTTATGTGCATATACTCTCCATTCTTTGGATTTTTTTATCATTAAAGCCCACTAACACATCCCGTGCACTACTAATGGGCCCAGGCCTCCTATCAATATCTTTAGGGGATGTGTGTGGAACACTCACACCAGCCCCCAGCAAAATTAAGGTGTTAGAGACTGCAATGAAGGCATTTCAAATGCTACAAATCAATTAAAGCGGCTATGGGAAGACCGCAATTAAGGCATAATTTGAAACGCCTTCCGGCTCAATGGGCTTAGAGCATGGATAACGAGGGCAACCCAACAACGGATCTAGAATTGGCTCTGATACCATCCTAGAATCTGGACTTAAGAACTAATTCAACGCCAAAAACTAGCTTTAAAAGTAGTGAGATGTCCACTTACAAGCATTACTTATGTCATATTTGTAGGTAATGTGGGACTAAACCCACCTCCTCACACCCAACACAATGAAGGTATTGGAGGCAACAAAGGTACCCCAAATGCCGCAATTGAGGCAGCTAGAGGAGGACTGCAAATAGGGCATAATTCCCATCATAAAGCAAAAAATAAGAATGAAAATAGTTCTAAATCTGGTAGAATATTTCCTCTATCCTAATTTATATTTTTATGAACAGACTCAAGGTTGCCTATAGGTCCTTAAAAGAAATGCATAAATATCTTATTCGCCAAGAAAATTGTGTTTTTAATCCTAATAAATATAGCACTTTGTGGTTATTGTTTTCTGTCCTGTAATATCTGTTTATCCTGAAATTGTTCTTTATAATATGCAAACCACGTTGATTTTAAATCCTCACTACATATAAGGAGTATAATCAATATGACCCACATATTTCAGGGACTAGAACAAAATAACAATGACCAAAAGTGAAAAATGTTAAGACTTTTAAAGATTTGAACCATACAAAAAAATTATAAAGTAAAACCAAAAGGTGATATATTTATTAAAATATATAACCTTTTTTAAGAAATATTCATTTAATTTTATAGTAAATAAAATATTACAGAGACTGCTAATATGCTGTCCATAATATCTAGCACAGATGAAAGTTTTGTAAATTATGCTCAAAATTTTCTAAATTTCGCAGGGAAAATAGATGAGCATACCTTCTGCGTCAATGAAATGTCTGGCAATTCAAGTACTTGTGCACACTGCTGCCTAGCTTTGTTTCTCTTTTCAATGTTGGAATTCCTTTTCCGAACAAAAAACCACCGAACCAAAGGAATTGCAAAGAAAGAACCAGCATAAACCTGCATATATTATCATTCAGTGTATGGAGACAAAAGTGAAACCATTGCAGATATAATAACAATAACAAGCACTCCCCTCTTTATAGAGAATTTTTTTATCTTGGACTTCCACGATTAGATAAATTCTCATGAAGCGCGTAAGGAAAAGAATCTGGCAATTAACTACTAGTTTTTTAAATGAGTTATTGTATAAAATAGAATATATTTTAACTTAAAAAGTTTGTATAAATTAGAAGTTAATCCAAACTTGGCCTTAGTGCAAGCATAAGTGCAGATGGGTTGCCAAACTATTAGCATATTATTTCTACTATAATTTTAAATTTCTCAACACTTTCGTCTTATCTCACATTTAATTTGAGGAATAAATTCAGAGTGTGTAAAATTTTTTTACACTGTCGGTGAATCGTAACCATCAATTCAGAACAAAAAATAATAATTTATATACAATAGTGTAAAGAATTTTTACACAGACAGCCATCATAACCAATAGATCTTTAGAAATGTTTGGCTTTAATCATAACTACTTCTAAATTCATGCCCATGAGTGGTTGTGAATGTGCTGATGGTATAAAATTTTTTGCATTGGCACTTCATAACAATTAAACTCATCATAAAAACAGTTGGACTTTGATCATAACTACTTTAAAAGTCACATATGAATAGTCGTGATTTGTTAACAGTGTATCAATCAATTATTATATGCTTGCCGATCAATCAATCACATATGTGCACGTGAGCTCAGTTCATATGTGTTTCTACCTCGTTGAAAAAATGGAATGCATAATCGAAAAAAATGTAACACAAAAAATGGACACGAAAAAATGGATTCAACCTCGAAAATGAGAGGAAGAGAAATACAAAGAGAAAAATGAGGAAGAGGGGAGATAAAGAGGAGGAAGAAATAAGAGAATAGGAATATGAAGTTAAATTAGGAAAGAGTGATGGTGGAAAATTTTGAAAAATAGGGGGTATTTGATACATTCCACGTACCCAATTTTTTTTAATTTTTTCGGATGGTATAATTTGAGTTTTTTTACTGAGTAAAAATTAGGTTAATTATTCTATTTATTCACTCATTGAAAAGGAATAAGCTCAATTTAAAGAGGGTTGATGATTTAGTTTTTGTTTATACAAATCTCCGTCTTCTCTCGAGAAAGAGTAAGGTTTATAATGAAGGAGCAACAAAAATATGGGATATTGATAGAAATTAATGAAATCTATTTGATGGAGCTAATATTCTTAAAGTTGCTATCTTTCTCTCGATGAACCTGAACTAGAAGCCGCTCTTTTTAATGATATTGGAGAGGAAAACATAGATATTCAACCATGATTTCATGATTTATTGATACTTTTTAAGAGTGATTTATTTATGTTGCGAAGATATTAACTATTTTTAAGTAAATTGTTTTTTAAGTTTAATGTTTTGATGTTATTTAAATAATATAATTCATTTGTTATTTTTATAATTATATTTTTAAAAAAATTATACTAACGTACTCGTACCATAGTTTTTAAAAAAATGTCGTACTCCGTACCAGTACCCGTATCAGGTACTTGGTACGTACCTGTACCTATGCAATGCAGGTTCTGCTTATTAGGATTTATTATTTTATTTATTTTTAATAAGTTAGTATTTTTAAATTTGAAATTCAATATTTTTAGGATAAATTTTAGGTTGGAATAGAATTTACCTATTCAATAGGATTATTATCATTTGAATTTAAATGATAGTAGTTATAGGGAGAGGTAGTTACTAACCTAATTTGATTAGGACTTTTTCTCTTATTGTAAGCCTATTTAAAGGCATTTAGATTGGCAATAAAAATCATCAATAATTATCACCAGTATTTATGAATTTAAGAAGCGGCTCTGTCAAGGACGAGCCCGCTTCTACCTTCACCATAGGCCGAAGCAAAGCTTCTACCACGTCTAGGACTGTGTTAACACGATCCAAGACAAAGGGACATAACAGTATTTTTGTCAAACAGGGGTAACTGGAAATTCAAGGGAACTAGAAACAATCTTGCATTGCATATATTCTGATTTCAAAAGATATGACGCTTTTTTGTTTGTAATCAAGGTTGGAGGACGTATAGACTATAAAAAATATCAGACTTCCTAATTACATGATACTACACAACATACAATTACCCTATTTACATTCTAACATCAAATTTTAAAAATTAAAAATTAGCAGCAGCAGCAGCCTACATTAAAATGCTCCTTCAAAAAGATAATTCGTAATTCATTTACAATGTTGAACAACTTAATGGTTTGGAAATGAAAATACTTGTCATACCTGAAGGATAGGAAATATGTCAGCTACAAATTTAATGAAGCTATCAGGTCTAACTGCCACTTCTCTTTGGATCAAAGAAAAGCCAAAGTCAGTATACTGAAATAAAAATATATATACAAGAGAAAGTTGACTAATATGTCGTGTGAAGAGCCATACTTCAACATGGTTCCGAGAACAATAACCCCAAAGAGATTAAGGCCACCCAAACCAATGACCATTGCTCTCTCCGACGACGAAGTTTTGCTGAAAGAACATTCACCCATGTTATGGTTAAATAACAAGAGAGTAATAACGACAAATTGGTATGAAAAACACAATAAAGAACCTGAATTGCCATTTTTTCTCCTTAAAAAATTTTTCAACTCCTCCAACCCAACCTGCCCATCTTTTTCCAACATATTCTTTTCTCTTACTCTTTTGAGAAGCTGTCCTCTGAAGAGATGGAAACCTGTATAGAATGTTTCCCTGCATAACAAGCAATATGCGAGTATACATAAAACAGGATAAAAGTGGAAAAATAGCCCTCAGCAGAAACCAAAATACATGATATTTTATGAGTGACAAAAGATATACTGCTGAAGAGCTAGAAATTAACACTTTATATTAAAACAAAATAAATAGTAACAATCATATGTTGCATCCTTAAAGAAATTTAGTAATTTATACCAAAGACAGGCCAAAAAGGAGGATTTTTACTGACAAATAAAAAACAGTCCGCTTGTAATCACCATAAGAGAGAAAAAATGAAGGGTACAAGTTTTAGTCTTTAAATTTATTACATTGTCTCAATATACCTCTTCATCAACTACAGGTTGACCATCAAATCGTAAAAGCACCGGTAATATATAGGATTCGTCATCCTGGAAACATCCAGAGACAAGATTAAAATGTTTGGCAATAAAAGATGTGAAGCATAAAAAGTTAAAGAAGCATTCGGTAACAATAATAGAAACAAATACAATTAAAAAAAATGAAAATTTAGTAACAATAAAAAAAAATATATAGAAAATACATTAGGCTACAAGGTCAACCAAGTTGATCAATAAAGGATCTTGCCACCCTCGTGCAAAACTAAGTTGATCAACAAATAACAAGGGATGCATTGTGAACAATTTACAAGCAAAATAGCTCATTTTAAAAAAAAATAGTGTGTTTTGCACAATATTTGACATGGTAACAAATCTATCACTGAGTAATTTAATATGTTGGCAAGAAATATGCTTATTTTATATTTTAATAGAAATGTCATGAAGATAAAATAGTGGGACCAAATTATGGAAAAGAGATAGAATTTTATTTCTTCGGGGCACTAAAAAAGAATTAGATGAATGAAGTTAAAAGACAGATCCTTAGCCTCTACCACGACTCAAAGAAGCTTTTGCCATGGTTAGAATAGAAGAAAGTCAGAGAAAGTAGGAGAACAACTCTACTACTGAAGATGGTAACCTGAATTTGGCTCTCACTATTAGAAACTACACGAGCAATATAAAAATAGGAGTGAGAGGCAGTAATAAGTTAAGAATTTGCTTACTTTTGGGAGGTTTGGTTAAAGTCGTGGACAATGAATCAATAGCTTTCTTAATGTATCAAAGACTGCTTATCCTCTATTCCAAATAAAGTTATCTTTTTTGTAGCACTTGGGTCAGCGATTTAGCAATCTTAGCTTAATCTATCACAAAATCTTCCACAATACCCGGTGAAGCCCAAAAAGCCTCTCAAAGCCTTGATATCTTTTGCTAATTCATCATCATTTTCCCTCTTCTATTCTATTTGCATTTCTAAGTCATACAGGCCAATTCATCATCATTTTAAGTTTCTCAGGATCTGCTGCAACTCCTTGTGTGGAAATTTTATAGCCTAAATATTCCAATTGGTGTTTCCCAAAACTACATTTCTTTTTATTGGCAAACAATTTATGCACCTCTAACAAAGCCAAGACAGCCTGTAAATGTCTTTTATGTTCATCCTCACCAAAACATCATAAAAAAACGTAAAGGTAAATTTTCTCAAGACTGCAACATGACATTCATCAATGCTTTGTATGTGGATGGTGAATTAGTGAGACCGACTCTATTGTTAAACACTCAGGAAACTAACAGTTTCTTCTGAGTAGAATAACATAGAAGGAAATGGGCAGTTACAACTTACAACTGGCAGTAGTTGTAAATAGATAGGATCGAAGAGCCCGTCTTCTCTCCCAACTACCTTCTGCCTGGAAATTAACCGAATGCCTCCCATTTCCCTCTTCTATTCTATTTATTCAAATACAGAATACATCTAAACTAGGCTGAGCCCATCTCTATAAGGTTTGTGCCTTCCGTAAGTCTACCTAACAAGAGGCCTGCTAACAAAAAAAAACAGACTGGATATGATGTGTACATGCTTCATACAACTAATGGAATCTTCCTTTCTGGTTAGTGAGTATAAAGGGGGGAGAAGCGAGAACGAGATAGAAAGAGGAGTTTGAACTTTAATTGCAGTGTAATACTGATAAATGTCATGAAGTCTGATAATGCAATACCTCAAGGGAGGCAAATGCAATTTATTGTAAACTAAACTTAACAATAAAAACAGAGGAATATTCATTGCATAAACTAACATCGGCAGTCAGAAACCACTACTGTATAAATGCAGCAGAGAATTGCAAAATAATAATACAAGAAATCAAGATTTGTTCATGTCAACATCAATAAAAAAAGCAACAATTTAGTATAAACAAGCTAAAAGATATCGAAATGTTTCTAAATTTGAGGACACAAGGATCTAAAATGAAGAAACAATAGAGTGAAATCCAAAGAAAATGTAAATCAAATGTCATCAAAGTTATCATTTGCATTTCTAAGTCATATGTGCCCAAGATAAGTAAGTTGGAAACTACGGGCAGAGCAATTAACAAGTTAAATTATTCATTATAACATCCTTGTTAAATCACCTTAATTCTTTCCGTAGAATCTATATCAAGATATGGAGCAAGTTCTTCAGCTGCAACAACACCGCCATTAGATGCTATGTATTGCCCAATCTGTGCATAAGACAATAAAAATGAAGCAAACAGAGGAAATAATCATGCTTAGGAGGCTCAAAAAAGATAAAGGAAATAACAAAAAAGAATATCAAGTCTTTTTTCTTATACACACACAAATGTGCTAGCAAAATATTTGTGCATCGCGTATCATTGGTTACTATATTAAGATAATCATTTTAGTATCAAAATATTTAAAACTGATCAGTGAGATTTTGACAAGGTGCAGAATTAACATAATAAAGTGGAAAAAGGCATCCCATAAAAAAAAAAAACAAAGGCAACGGACCACGAAATTCAGTCCACAATTATTACCAACTTCCATCTTTCTTCTTCAATTCCTTGATTGGGATCACCATCTCCAAACACAAAGGAGAAGACCTATCAAGAAACCATATCAAAATACTGGCTTTTGTTAGAAACAGGGGGGAAAATGAGAACAGGAGACGTAATTCATTTGCATCACATACTGATTCAATGAAGTTCGTCTTGTTATCATCAACATCAACTTGTACCCTTCGCCTCCTATAGTAATATGGATCCCAGTACCTTCCATGATATAAAATAGATTATATGTCACCAAACATTTTCTCTAAATAACCATGTATTTTTAATTTGAATGAAACTACATAAGTATACTACATATTGAAGTAATATTGAAATGCATAGATAAGTATCTCCCCCTGTAAACAACACAAATATTGAAGTAAATAATTACCAGAATAAATCGGTTGGACTAAAGAAGGAAGTGAATCCTGAATCATATGATCTGCCCCCACGTCTTCCGCGATTGTCCTCCTCGCTGTAAATAATAAAAACTATGAGTACATTGAGATCACAAAAGTTTTCAGGATAAACTGCTATTTGAGATATCTCAGTTATGAAGTACCTTCGGCTGCTAGTTAGAAGAGCAATTATTGCAGTGTAAACAATTACAATGGATGCAATAAGTGCTGTCCCGAAAGAAACCCTTATCAAGTATTCTCCAGCACCCTAACAAAATCAATATCATCATAATACAACAATCAATCACATTCCATTTAACAAATCAGCATCAATGACAATCCTCAATACCTTAGCCTTTTCAAAAAATGGTTCAGCTTTAATCTTAAATGACTTGGCACCAAGCTTTAGCCGATAATCTTTGGGAAACACATATAAAATGTCACCTTCCTCAGAAACCTGCAGGAGACACCATATTGGCCCAACTGAACTTGCTTCAATAAACAAAAATTCAACGCAGAAAAACTAGATGCCTAAAAGTAACTAATACGCAGAAGCAAATTAAACTAAACAGAAATGTTATTTGAACAACAATTTGGAACAAAAAAATTCAAAAACAATTTAAATGGTGAATGCAGTTCACACCCATTAACGTGTTTCAATGAGTGGTTAATGAGTATATCAACATTGGATTGGATAACATCAGTGTTGTTGATAATGGATGGTGGTCCATAGCGGAGAGGCAAAATCACGCCATACCAGCCCCTTTGCAGCGCTGTTATAGCAGATTATGGCGTAAAACCCGCAATATTGGCCGATATATACCATTGTGGCAAGCCCAAAAACCGCCATGTATATCCGCCATAGCGGCCATGGCGCCACTATTTGACAACACTGGATAACATTCATCATCATGACTTAATTAAGCTAAAACTTGAACTTTATTAACCCCAATTTCAAGAGTTTCCACTACATGTAAAGTTGAATACTTGAATATATAGGTTAGTCACCTTTAGTTTTGTGGCAAATAAACCTATTAACCCCATGGGAACCACGTTAACCATTTAAAATCTCTCAAATTTTGGTATCTCACATTGTTGTTTCAAGTTACATTTTTTTTGTATGTTTGGATTGATGGAATGGAATGGAATGGAGTGGTATATAATTAGATTCCATTGTTTGGAGTTGCAAATAATGAATAGAACAGAATGTTCCATGGAATCCAGTCGTCCTATTCCATTTAATCCTTTCATTTTCATTCCCCCAATTTGGAGTGTGTGCAATGGAATGAAGTGAACTAATTTGTTCTATCCCGTTCCGTCGAATTATAAAAAATACATAAACAATGGAATAGAATCTTTATACTATCCACTCCACTCCATCTCATCATGTTCCATTCCGTTTTGCTCTAGTCCATTAATCCATCCATAAAAAAAATAACATTTCTATAAATTACACCAAGAGCACAACAATACACACGCAATAAGGCTAATTAGAAATGTGGACAAACACACACCGTCTTTCCGCTAGGAATCATTACTATGGTCATAAGCACTTTAAATGATTTCAGTGAATTCAATTATGATTATCCAAAAACACATAATTCAAAATTCACCAACATTGAACCCTACCTCTAAGAACCCATCAGTGTCGGCAGCAAGAGCTTGAAGTGCTTTCTGAGCTTCATTCACCTTAAGCCCAGCCAAACTGGCCACGTCCCCAATTGTCACCCTCCCTCCAGAAGCATCAACAGCGTCCATAGTTCGTTTCCTGACATCAGTCGGAATCTGATCAGTTTCCACAACCCCGCCCGGTCTGATCGCTTGGCTAACATCGACGGTGGCCTTTGGTACAAAAGTCGAAGTCCTTAAATTGATTCTCCGGTTGGGTTGGAGCGGAAAGGGTTTGGGGAAGGGTTTGTGGAAGGTTGAAGAAGTGAAGGTGAGGAGTCGGGATGTGGGTGTGACGGTGAAGCATGTAGAGATTGTCGCCATTTGTGTGGCGTTGGGAATGGGTGTGTGGAAAGAAGGCGGGAGGATGAGGCCTGTGTGTTGACACAGTAGGCCTTCTCTTACTCATTTAGATTCGTTGTGGATTTTAGAATGTATCATATGGTCACGCATCAATCATCAATAAATAATTAATAAAATAATAGAGATTAATTGATAATAAAATGTTAAATCAGAGTATTATTAAATCAAAATATTGACGTTAGGATTCAACATATCTCCCGGAAAGTTTACATGTGTGTTGATGCTTTAATTAGAGATGAAAGCTTGCAACCAACTTCTATGTGCATTTTTTAGAAGTGTCTTACCTTCCTTAATTACATTCTTTCTAATTAATTGGTTGAAAATTCTTTCACGGATAATATTTTTATTTTTATTTTTTTTGGTACAAAAGAAGGTTTAATCAATCCGATAAAAAAAGAAAAGACTAAAAAGCTACTTTAATACGTCTAGAGATTGAGGTCCCATTTTTATCATCATCTAAAATGTCATCCAACTCATTTCTCACGAGATTCGGAAGAAAGAAAAGATTAGTATTGTTCAAAGTAAGACTATAATTGATTGTCCAATCAACCATATGATAGAAGAAACTTAAATAGGGGTATCTGTCATATCCTAATTTTTACTCCTAAGATTCCACCTGTCATATATCATTTACATTTCATCAAAATTACAAGCATGGTGTCCTTCTAACCCACTATCTTTGGGTTTGCTTTTGTAGGAGATCACCAAGCATCTTTTGTGTTTCTTTGTTATCTTGTTACTAGCTTACATTCTAACATCACTATCCTTATTCAAAATACAGAAATATGTGTAGTTTCCTTTTCCTATTATGCAAGGTAGGGACTTGTAATCAAAGGATCAAGATTGGTTCCTAAATTAGAGTTTTTGGATTCCCCAAGGCAAAGGTATGGTCAACAAATGGTCCACAAGAGACTTTATCTCAAGGTATGACCTTTAATCTTAGGCCACATTCATGTCAGGATTCATTCAACATCATTTGATCAAGAGAAGTTCAAGTATGGTTCATGTATTTATTTCCATGCCATCTTACCAAATTTCTCTAGGCAATCATCAAGATTTCTTAAAGGAAAATTAAGTTCCCTTTATGTGGTACTCAAGTGTTTCTCATGAAGCCTTGGGATGCAAGAAATCACAAGTTGGCACACGGTTGGTTGACCTAAAATCAAGTATGGCATGTCACTTGGTTCAAACACCATAATTTTCTCATTTCTCAACCTTTTTGGGTTTTTCTTTGAGCCAAATGTCGCATTTGATGCTCTATAAAATTTTTCTTCAAGGGTCAATACTCAATTCAGCCTCTAAGTCCATCAATTTTTAAAGTTGCTCAAAGACTATATGTGAACAAAATTAGGTTCATGACATGTTTGACCTAATGTCAGACCTACTTTTCAATGCCACAACTTCAACTTTCAACTCATGCCATTATCACCTCAAGCATCCTTTTGAGTTGGTTCTTTTTGCATTGTATTCTCCTCCATGAAAAGATCATTTAGACTGAAGAAAATCACAAAACGCACGAGTGGATTCCATTTGGCTTAAGCATGAACATGGTGACTTGACTCTGCATTTGTGGTATATGACCCATAATTAGAAATGACCTAAATTCACTTAGGACCACTTAGCACATGTGAAAACTTGTTTATCATGATCAAAATAATCTGGTACAACACAAAACGACTTGAAATTGCTCCAAACTCGTGCATTTCGTGCCAACTTTTCACACAGTTTGGATCTAGAATTTTCTCGAATGGGTTCACACGTTTGACATCCAATTTGACGCGTATCATGACCTCACTCCCTTTCATATAAATAGAGCGTCGTTTTTCCTTCATTAGCAAGCTTTGGAGAGCCATAGAACTTCTACCATTTTTACTCTAAACAATCTCAAAAATCAGAAACCCTAACTTCGATTTAAGCTTGTTTTAACTTCAAATCTCTGCCCAAAATCCTTCATCAGCATCATCTGAAGCTACTTGAAGCATTATAGAAGTTCAACACCTTCTGCAACCTTCTACCCAATCTCATCATTTTTATACCTTTGAAGCTTTTTCGAACAGGTAGATACGAGTAATATCTCAGCACAAACAAGTTACTGCTATCTTCGTCTTGATCTTCTGATGTTAAGCTCTCACTTACCTTTAATTTATCTTGCGTATTAGTCATTTAATTTAACTTTTAAGCTTCTAGGTTTTATGCATATTTTTCCAAATTCTCTCTGTTTGGAGTAAATCAATGGCTCCCATGCATAGAGATGATGACATGAGTAAAAGCTTAAGCATGAGGTGTTTGAGCTTGAAACTCAGAGTTCAAGGATCTTTTACAGCGTTTCTTTAAGTTTATGCACTTTAAAATACCCAGTCGAAGTCTTTTTCATTACAAGCACATTTACCAATTTGTTATTACAAGTACTTTAAATCTAATTCTAAACGAAGAATACTTTAGCACATGTCCTAGGATCAATCTGATCGATCCTGTGAGTCACCAAAGTCAAATTTGGAAGATCAGCGGTTGTTTTCCGATTTTCAAGGGAAACAAAATGGCACACCTGGTGGGACAGTGCTAAATATCCCCGCGATTTAGAATTAAAAGATTCTCATTTACAAGTCTTAATAATCTTCGTAGAAAGTACATTATATGTTACTAAGAAGTGGTAGAATTACCGCTGCTAACAAAGAAAGACGAACAATCCTTAGGAATATGGCGACGGAAACGAACCAGCCAAACAATCTTAACCCACAAGTCGAAGGTCCTGGCGGAGGAACCAGTAACAACATGGTCCCACCGCCTATACCATTGATAGGAGAGCAAGTAGCGCCTCCCATAAGGTCAGAACAAACCTTCGCCCCAGTAGGATTTGGGACAACGATAGTTAGGCCTTACACACAACCCGTATTGGAGTATATCGGGCCACCAGTGTCGAATCCCCAAACTCCAATAGCAGGACCATCAGTGTCAAGGCAGTTTGCCCCTTTTTGTCTTTCGCAGTTGCCAAGGAATCCCCCTTATGGGATGTCAACGACTGTAATGCAGGGGTTGCAAAATGCGCCCCCAATATTTTCTGAAAACACAATGGCGTCACCTTTGCAAGGATCAGGACCTGGTTCAAACATTGGTCGAAACCCTCAGAGTTTAAGTCTAGGATATTCGACTCAAGGTCCCAATCTAACCAATACGTCTGTTGCCTGTTTGAGGCAGCAGATGGATGAGAGTAACTTACAGATGGTTCAAACCCTCTCCCAGACTATGGGTGAGATCTTTCAGCCATTAATTCGAGACACAACTCACGCTAACCAACAACGGGCGACACAGTTAACACGCTTGACTGAATTTATAGGGGTACATGCGTTAGAAAGGAACCAAGCCCCTGTGGAGAATACTCCACAACAAAAGCCAATTTAGAGAACCAATGAGGAATAGACCCTTATGTTGTCGAAACTCCCAAAGTCCAGGTCGAGGGAAACCCAGAAATAGTTATGGTGAATCGAACCAGGATGCAGACAATGTGGTCCAGCAAGTACGACGCAACAACCTCGCGGTCGAAAACAACTTGGCTACGATGGTAGAAAGAATCATGACTCGAAATGGCCTAAACACTAGGTTTACTAGGCCAAATTATACTTCACCAATAATCGACTACATCCTTCGAGCGGAATTACCCCCTAGGACCAAGGTGCCTAAGTTCACTAAGTTTTCAGGGGACACGACGGAGTCCACCGTCGAACACGTAGCACGCTACATAATTGAGGTTGGGGAGATAGCCAATGACGAAAGCCTTAGGATAAAATACTTCCCAAGTTCTCTTACAAAGAACGCCTTCACGTGGTTTACCACTTTACCACCAAGTACAATATGTAACTGGACGCAGTTAGAACGACTCTTCCATGAACAGTTTTACATGGGCCAGACGAAGATTAGTTTGAAAGAGTTGGCTAGTGTAAAGCGTAAGTTTTCAGAACCAATCGAAGAATACCTCAATAGGTTTCGACTACTTAAGGCAAGGTGTTTTACACAGGTGCCTGAACATGAGTTGGTCGAAATGACAGCAGGAGGTTTAGATTACTCTATTAGGAAGAAATTAGATACGCAGTATCTGAGAGATATGGCCCAATTGGCTGACAGAGTCTGACAGCTAGAAAGGTTGAAAGACGAAAAGGCGAGATTTAACAAAGGCAAGAAAGTAGCTTTTGTCGAACTCAATGAAAGTAGCGAAGGGGCTTGCGAAGAGTCCCCCTACTTCGAGGAGAACGAAGTCGATCTTGCTGAATTAAAACAGGGTCCCCCATATTCTTGTCGAGTACTGGCCCCTCCTCAAGGAAAGGGCTTTGTCGAATCAGAAAAGAACGACAGGTTCCCTAAGAAAACTTACACCTTTGACATCACGAAATATGATGAAATCTTCGATTTGCTAGTAAAAGATGGGCAGATGATAGTGCCGCCTGGTGCTAAAACACCGCCCTTAGAGCAGCGGAAAAAGAGAGTTTTTTGTAAGTACCATAATTTTTTGGGTCATAAAACATCTCAATGTTTTCTTTTCAGGGATCTCGTCCAGAATGCGATACAGGAGGGACGCTTGAAGTTTGGAGATAAGGCGAAGGGCCAGATGAAGGTGGATGCTGATCCGCTGCAATTGGCTGATGCTCTTTATGCTGAACCTATGGAAGCAAACATGATAGATGCTACTGAGGGCATCGAGTTTTCTGTTAACATGATGGAGGTCACTGAGGACCTCATTTCAGCACCAGTGATGGAGAAATTCGTCATGGGTTTCGGTTTGGACGATGCGGCAGTCACAGTCAAGGAGAATACTGGTCGAAACGATAACGATTCAAGTCTAGGGGTTCAAAGTCATCCAAGTTACGCCATGGTAACCAAGGAAACAACTGACCATTTCGTCAGAATGGACCAGGCCACTGAGGGCTTGGAAAGAATAGAGCTGGCTGGGACGGTCGAAGTTAATATGG